GCGCCTAAACAAGTGTGAGTAACTGGCAATAGCGTCTCCCTGAAAGCTCTTGAATAGAGTCAACAGATTTATGTAATGACGCGTCACCTGTGTTGGCGTATAAATGATGGGCACCAGTTCCTTCAAATGCCTGGACAACAATGCGTAATACAGCGTCCAGTTCTGGTCCTTCAAACTTTGCAAGAACGTATTCTTGCGAATTGGCGTGTCTCGGGCTCGCAGCTGCCCATACGCGCGCTCGTATTGCTCGTCGATGGTGTTGACGCGGTAAGGGATGCGAGACGAGAGACCGAAGGCCTTACGCTCGTTCGTAGGAAACCCGGTCCCTTTGTTGAAGCGCGGCGACGTTAGGAGCTGCTCGCCACGTATGGCGAGACGCATGGCGGGGACGATGTTGGGCTTATGGGCATGAAGTGACATGACAATTGATGTTGAGAGTGAGAACGTGACGTCAGAAAAATGACGATTGCCATGTGACGTCATTGCGGGTTGCTGCTTGTCGTTGGCATAGTCCGACGTCCGGGTTTCAACTTTCAACGTTCAACGTTCACTGTTTGAACGTTTGCCACTACTCTGCAATGTTTGCCATCTTCGTGACAAGGTTTGTTCTATTGAACCACAGATGTATTTCGCGTATAAGACACCTTGGCGGTACATACGATTCCTCCCTCCCATCACGCTCGTTGTCCAATCCCCCGGATGCACCTCACTTCCCTACACTCCTTCAACGCCTCTAACGACGAACCTCCGAATATCGCGTTGCCTTCCATCGTGAACATGGTTTCCAGGGGCACGTCGTCACTGATAAATGGGTGTTAGTCGCCCAGACGCCGTTTGAGCTCTCCACGCAAAAGGAGGTCTTCAGTTCCCCCTTAACGACGTCGGTAGAATCGAGAGATTTGGAGTTGGGATGGGGCGCGGACACTCTCGTTCCAACCTGGGCGAGGTTGAGTTTGGGCAGGGAAACATACGAGGAAGGTACTTACCTTGGTAACACCCGTGAGCCCTTGTTCTTCCGAATCGTCTCCTTGAGGCAATTCCCCACCACTCGTCACGCTCGTTTCTGATCCCCCAGATGCACCTTCGCTTCCCTAAACCCTTCCTTCAACTCCTCAAACAACCAGCCTCCGAATTTCGCATCGCCTTCTATGGTGAACATGGTTCCGAGTGCGCGTCGTCACTGATAAGAGGGTTTGCGAGGACGAAAACCATAGCTTTTATTAGACGAGCGCATTTGGCGCAGCCGAGTCGAGGAAGGCGGAGTTCCACTGACATGAGGATTTCGTGCTGGCGGGAAGGCCGTTAGCCCGGACGCGGAGATGCAGCGGGAGGGGTGACGTTGAGGATATGTGCATGGCACACGTACCATTCTTTGCGCTCCCACTGTATTCCTTAAACGACGATCACGTTGTTCGAACCGTATGGTGTTATCGACGTCCAGCTGATGGTGTGCAATCCCGGTAAGTCCACTAAACCTCTGAATGT